CAGACTCTTTCACGCCTGTCACACATGCTCAATGTGAGCCTTCTGTCAGCTGTGAAGAGAACAGGATGCCAATGGCAGACCTGCCAATTCTGGTGTTCTCTGGCAATACAGCAGCATGTTGCTGGGCTCTGAGCACAGATCCAGCTAGAGGACGGCTGACCCCCATGCCACCCTCATTGAGTCTGTTTCTGACAGTTTGGTCAGAAGTAGGTACACCTGTAGCCTGCAGCAGGCCATCTTGTAGGGCTCTGGCAGTGCTCCTGCTGAGGAACAGATACCGGTCCTGCTGCTGGCCTTCTTCAGCTCTCCTGGTATCTCTTTCAGGGTCTGGAGACTGTGCTGGGAGACACAGCCAACATTCTTTCCACCGTACATATGGATGTACCACCTTGGAAGAGCTGGACTACTTGTGCAACCTGAGTGGTCTGCATTTACTGCTTCATGCAACCAGTGGTGAAAAGGACACTAGCAGACCAAAAGACTATAGAAGAATCACCCAGGAAGGATTTTACCTTTCCATTGTACCTTTTACTTGGACCAAAGCAGGTGACATTGATTCAGAACCACTTGTGCTTCCTATATGGACATACTGATATCCTTGAAGTTAAACTGAATATGTGTCATACAACCATACCAAAAAAAAGTGTGACAATTTTAGTTTATCAGTGTATTAAGCCAACAGGCTTTACCGGCCCCCTTATGGAACCCCTCACCACACAGCAGCCTCACAGACTGCAGGGGCCTCGAGACGAGTCTCAACCAAACTCTTACAAACCAGTGTCCCAATACATGTCAAGTGAAGTCAAACTATTTGTGTGGGTAATGAATTATGAGGAAAATAGCTTATTTTTTCTTCTTAGAGAGGTTAACAGATTTAATTTTACAGAAGCTAAATATTTCAACAGTTAAATAAATAAAAAATGTGTTTTTCTGGTACATGGCCCCTGGCTGGAGGTGCTCAGCACCTGTAACTATCAAAGGCCTAAAACTACATTTTCAACTACTATAAACCTTTTGTGCTGTAAGTTGTATGTTATAATAAATGACATATACTGAATGAACAGAATACTGTATGCTTAAAAAAAACCATATATCTATATAAGCTTTAGTATTTAAAAGTTATGCAACATCTTAAAAACTGTGTTACATTTCTTTAAATAACACATATTTTCTGTGCAACTAACTAACATTTGAGAGGTAGCCTCTAACCTTCCACAGTCGTAGGAGGTTTACAGATTAGAGCATTTTAAGACCATTCGGGTCTCTGAACAGGGACACTGAAGGCTTTTAAGAAATATGATACCAGCATCACTGGTCCTTCAGCGACTGTGTTCAAGAGGGCAGCTGAAGAGACTGCCGTTCATAGTTCACTGATCTCTTAAAAGCTTGGGAAGCACACCCTTCGCTCACAGCCTTTTGACCAGTGCACAGAAGTGTATCATGCTTTTTAATAACCTCTGGTGATAAATATTCAGCAGCAGATTCAAGCATAGATATCACGGCCACAAGCCAAAACAATGCTGTGGGAATAGAAGAGGATTGATTCTGCACTATTGGTCAAATAAAGGTTTCTTCCTAAAGGCTTGATGAACAAATCTAGCTTTATGTCCATATAAAAGCTCTCACACCTTTTAGTACACAGGCATACATTTCCTCAAATAGTATTAATGGCTGAAAGTTAACAGCAGCATCTTTATGTCCCGACTTTAGCAAGGGTGTTCAAGTTGCAAATTATTTACAGGAATTACTTTAAAAGCCTGTGATGGTAAAAAGATGGTCTTAATGGTCTTACGAAAAAAAAAAAAATCACATCATGGCCTCCCCCTTTCACTTTCATCATGTTCACATCAGGGCCACATCGGAACAATTTACCGCAGTTAAATGGTAAATGGAGTGTGCTTTTAGAGCTTTTCTATTCTTCTGAAAAAGTGTTATTATAAGTTGTTATAATTTTAATTGCACACAAAATCAACTGATAGGACTATTAGACCATTAATTGTTTGATCCAGTAACAGAAATAATTCACATACAGCAGAACAATGGGTCAACAGGATCCATTAGCACAAAGTTGTTGCTAAAATATTATGTCTATCTTTTAAATATACAGGAAGAGGAATAAATATTCTCATTTTCTCTTTGCAGGACAGTGAATAAATTAAAAGTGTTGAATGAATGAATGTTACTATTACATTACTTTACTTGTTGGTGATATAAGTTACTTCAAGTTAGCGAGGACAGCTAATTTGTTTTATCTTACAGGTGGGATTTTGAGAATTGCCTATAAAATATTCTGAAAAAACTGTTCCTACCTCTAAAATGTGGTTAGAAAATCTAACTAACACTCTCCATTTGGAAAGGACAAGATATGTTCTGAAGGACAGACTTCAACAATTCAATAAAACCTGGAAACCCCTTGTCTTATATCTTGCAACTGCTGGCCGAATACAACAGTCCTCGTCCTAGCACACACTGTACAACAACTGAGATGGTTGAAGAGTGAAGGTCTCTAAGGGTCGTGGTATTATTTGTACTCTGTTTGTTTCTCTGTTCTTTACATTGCATGTTGTTGCACTTTATTTCTTAATTACCTTATTTAAATATTACCTCTGTGCCTATCAATATATCTGAGCTTCAAATAACATCAGGGTTACATGCACAATTGTAATAACTATAAAAACGAGTCTGGAATATATTGTTGAATGTATGTCCGATTTACTTGCTCAATAAAAGATATTGAACTAAAAAATATTCTGAAAAATGTCCTTACATTTCCAATTCATTTAGTTATAGCTTTGCCAAGAATAAGTGTCCCAATTTTTCGGTATATCATCATGTGCTCCAGTTTAACGATCTCCTGAAGTTGCCATGGTAATGATAATCAAGTGACATCAGAAAATAATCCAAAAAAGAAATAAAGAGCCACTTCTTTGATGATTGAGAAAATGGTCAAACTTCCACATTAGTAACAGTTTATTTGTAGAAATCAAGTAAAAGGTTGAGATAAGCTGTGAGTGCAACGTGCATTATTACTGGAAAATGTAAAACAAATTAGAGTTAATTGTGGGTCAAGATTGGACTTGTAATACACACAGCTCTAACAGAGTCGACATCATCAGAATGAATGTCTACATTAATAATGTGCTGAATGAACGTGTGCAGATAAACAGATGCAATACTGTGTATGTACATCTTTAAACAGGAGACAGTTGGTAATGCCTCCATCTAATACAAGCTGCTGCCTGACAGCAGCCGAGGAAACATGTTTTTGACTGTTGTCACACAGAGAACACTCCCAGGCAAAAACCTTTGCTAGACAGCATTGTAGAACTTCCGTTGAATAGTTCCTCACCAGAGGCAAAAACAGCCTTGAGCTACAACATTGTAATTTGCTGACCATAAAAACAGGAGTCATTTTGTTGTGGCCTTTTCTAATAGGAGAAATGCCTCTGGGTATCTTCAAATCAAATTCCCCAGACAAAAGTGGCTCCCCAGGCCAACCTAAACTACATTTCATATTGTAGATTATCCTTGATTGAGTATATTGCAAGAGAAACTCAACACTTGCCTGGCAATGAGACTGTGTACTGGATGCACGCACACTTCTGTATAATACTGCTGATGCAATATCATCCACCTACAGTGACTGCTTATTCTAATTTTTTTTTGAGACAGTTCTATGTGAGAGGAAGCAAATGACCCGTGCTAAACGACCCGGGATCTGAGCAAATACATTGTGTTACCCAGTAGAGTGCCTGCCTGCCTGCCTGCTCAGGGAGGACAAGGACTAAAGCCCTTAATCTCCGCTCCGATTCTGGATAGCTTGCCAGGTTTTAAATGTCATCAGAGTGGAAGTGTGTACTGGCTCGCATGGTCGGCCAGTTAAAACAACAACACCAGGTACTTAAATATAAGTACAGGAACACATGCAGTTGAGCCGGGTGACAGTGCATCGATTTAAAAATAGCACCACACTTGTGAACAGGAATCAGTGCCAAGACCATTGAAAATTGACACGTGCGCCGTCTGGTATGAGGGATGATAATAAACAGGGCTAAATATGAAGTTCAGATTAAATGTGATAATACCACTGCTATTACCAACGCCATTCCTTCATCAACACCTTCTCATTTGCCAGAAAACAAATGTAACGTGGAGATGAGTGAAACACTGTCAGGACAGGAAGCAGCAGCAATTACTAGTTGGATTCAGCATTCAGCAGTGACTGTATGAGCCAGCAAAAGGCTAAATGTGCCTTATAACCAGAAATCGACTTCACATCCAAGGGGACATCACTTCACTCTTAACAACACATGAGGACTTGTGATGGCAAAGGCTTTGTTGTCTGGAGGATGAGTGTGGGCTACAAGTAATGCTCCATCTGCAGCACACAATAAGACTTTATAAATACACCAAGGCACAGTGCAGAGTTTGCACACCTAAAATGGGATTAGGCTAAGAATTTGATTTTAAATACAAATCTTTGCACTTGGAATATTAATGCCGTGGCAAAGTATGCTGCCATAAACTAAACTATTTGGAGCCAGAGTAACACTGCTTACCATTCATTGTCAGTTGTGTTCATTTGCATAGTAGTTGTGTCATATGTTAAGGCTTTAAGTCATAAGGATCTGCTGATACAAATTAAATTTAAGACGCTTTTCAAACGTTTTTCTTTTAAGCCTGTTATACGTGCCTGACCTTTTTGTCAATAAGCTACTTAACTTGTTTTAGAAACCCTTTATTTTACTGTAAAAAATCGGAAAGTATTTTTTCCCCATCTCTTTGCAGAAGCGCTTGCGCACAACGTAATGATAGTCGGACACAGCGTCTGGTGGGCTATGGTCCACGGCAAGGGGGTAGCGATGAAACCAATGATCCTCCTCTCATTCATTCATCACAGGACAAGTGTCAGTGTTCTGTAGAAGCTCTCCTGCACGACCCAAGCGGACGTGAGAGTCAGCGTGACGACTGTTTCCAACTACGCCGAAAGAAAAGCTTACCTCCCCGGCCGCTCGCCGCTCCTGTCCCCCGGCGTTTTGTCCCTGTTCCGCGGCGACGATGCTCATGAAGGAACGCTGGTTTTATCCCGCAAACACTGTTGATGCATTTTACAGCCAAAAGAAGAGAGTGCTCTGGTAGCAGGCTGTGTGCTGGTGAGTAAGTGAGTCCTGTCTGTGCCACGGGGCTGCACGTCACCTGGTTAAGTGACCGGGACTTGGCAGACGGTTCCTGCTGGGCTCGCTGCGCGGTGGTGAATGCGAGATGTGCGAGACTGCTTGGACCGCTGCTTGTGTGAGGACTGCTGCGTGTAGACACATTTTCATGATGCTGCTCCGCCCTTTCACTGTGATTGGTTCAGGCAAGCCCTGCTGCGCCCCCATCCATCACTACGCGCAATTGCATGCACCTGCAGGGAGACTCTCAGCCCGAGAATGGATAAAAACGTCGTTCTCTTAGGTGTAAGGGTCTTGGGATTAAAGCCAGTGGGTGAGTTTCAGAGGTGTGTGTGCATGTCCAGGCTATGTGAAAAAATGGAATGGAGAAATATCCATTTATCACAGTTATTTTGAATGAAGACATCTGTATTCATTCAGCAATTACATGCTGAAGAAACAAGCATTTACACATCATGTCAAAATGAAAATAAAAAACTGAAGCTAGTTATCATTGATATTACATTCAATTAGTCCTATCAACACCTAATATCCTAACGTTTGCTTCCATTAACACAGACAACATGAAAAATATTATCAAAAATAATAATAATTAAGTTATTACATTTTAAAATAAAAGTATAGACTTATATTTCCTTGTAAGTCTTTGGTATCAGCATTTGCCCAGCTCTTATAATTCTAGCCTCTTGAAATCAGCACAATTAGCTCAAATTAAAAAAAAAATGTACCGTTTCATTACAGTAGGAGTTTTTGACTTTAAAATGTTTTCCTTATCTTTGTATCCCTTTCTAGGGGCTTTTACCTGTTGCTTAACCAAGCTATTTAGATGTCCTTAAAGATTATGACCCTGTGGCACAACATGCAAGGTTATTTGGTTCACTGTTGTTTAGCTGCCCCTTTCTCTAATCGACCGTTTTCACTTAATTCACCTGATTAACTCTCCTTTTTGGACTGTATGGAAGAGTACATCATGTGAGGGCAGAAAAATCTAATTGTTCTTATTAGTGCATATTATGGTTTGGTGACATCAGTTTTTTTTATTATTATTTAGCTCAGCCCATCTTCACCTTGGGTCTAACTGGTCACCTGTGATAACACTGTAAACAGCACAGTAGCCCATAATAAGCAGTAAGTGGAGAAGTTGATAATAATAAAATTCATGCTGGATGAATTCATTAAGTTGCTTTAGTTTCAGGGTCCTGGCTCAATGTCATGACTTACTGAGACACTAGAGCAGAACAGAGCCATTAACTAATGTTATTAGCAGCACCAGTGCTTTTCATGCTAAACATATTAAAAAAACAGTGAACACAGGGAATGGTAATGGGTGCAGTGTAACTGTTTTTTTCTTTGCTTACCAAATCCAATGCTGTGTTATTTTACTCTGTTTAGAGGATATGACAGAAATCATTTTAAATCATGTATATTCTATATGCACCTAGTGGTGCAACCTGAACACATCGTCAGTGATCCGTCCCGGGGTCACCGGATGTCTCGGGTCTTACAGCAGACACCCTCACACGCTGCGACCCAGTCAGGGGTGATCAGTCCCTGGCTCACATCAGGCTCACAGCCCCACCCAAACGTCATGCATTATTTTAGAGTTGATTGGCTGATATTATTCAGAGTGGCTCGGGTGATTGGCTGTCTGTCTGTGAATGTAGCAATGAATTAGTCGGCAGGAAGCGGGATGGTTTGAAAGCTAACAAAGTTGTAAAAATGAATGAAGTGGATTTCTTACTCCAGCAAGGTTTGAAACCATTGGAGCACATTGGAGCCCACCAGCTGAGGGATCATCACCCAAACTGCCAGTAAAACAAAGAAAAAAGTGGTTAACGGTTAGCATCGAGAAGACGGCGCTCTTCTGTTTTCCGTGTCTGTTATTCTGCTAAGATGGTACCTGGTCGAGGACAGGTTTCAAAGATCTTAAACCTCTTTCTGAGAGGATCACAAAACATGAGAGCAGCGGGATTCCTCTGGACAGCGCGATGAAACTGAGCTAACTTGGAAAAAAAAGTGTCGCTGCGCAAACTTACAGCGCTTACAGGCGATCCATTGAATATTGGGCAGAACAGACGGGTGGAGGAAAACCGGTACGTGCTCAATCAGATCATAACGTGAATTAAACTGTGGAAAATGTGAAACGGCACTACAGGGCCTCAATGACTTTGGCGGACTCGCTTAACCCAGGAATATTCAGGTGCATTTTTTTTAATTGAGAGGAACTTTTCCACCCTGAAGAGGATACAAATGTTCACCCGCGACACCACGGGACAGCCACGGCTCAACGCTTTGGCGATGCCCTCTATAGACAGCCAGCTGATTCAGCAGCTACAGGACTTCATCCCTTATGTCAGCGACAAGTGAGCCCGCAGCTTTGATAAGTAAGAAGATATTTTATCATACTGCCTTTTAGAGCTTGTATGTGAATTGTTAATTTTTGATGAACTGATTGATGTAGAGAGGGTGACGTGTCAATGCGGGCTTATCTAAGGATTGTTGTCATAGAAAGGATCTGTATCCCTAAAAAGATGTCTGCGTGCTTCCTTGTGGACTTAGGTGGTTTAGCACTCTGTTGCTGTTGGCTTTGATGGTCCCATTTGTTCTCAGCTCAGTTGTATTGGTTTATGAGGATGGAATATTTCATGTTTAATTTAGGCTTGTGACTGTAGGAGGAACACTAACTCTCTCTCTCCCACTCTCTCTTTGCGAGTGTGTGTGCGAGTGTGTGTGTGTGTGTGTGTGTGTGTGTGTGCGCATGTAAGAAGCCACTCTGCATAGTATTTTGCTAAACCAAGAATGACCCCTTGACATGTAAAAAAATAAATAAATCACATCAGTAGCGAGAGTACTGTAGTTTTCCTGGTATATCATATCTTAAAGAGGTTGTGCCCCACCAAAGTTTAACACATAGAGGGGCACGCTGGTGGCGCAGTGGCAGGACGTCCCATGTGTTGAGACTCTCGTCTTGAGCGGTAGGCCCGGGTTCGCTTCCACCCGTGGCCCCCTTCCGCATGTCATTCCCCGCTCTCTCTCCCTGGTTTCCGACTCTATCCACTGTCCTCCCTCTGAATTAAAGGCACAAAAAAGCCCAAAATAAATCTTGAAAAAAAAAAAAAAAAAGTTTCACACATAGAAACACCACTGGGTATGGCCATAGGTGACAGTTGTGTGTACAAACAACTCTCTGATGTACGTCACTTTGGATAAAAGCACCTGCTAAGTGAATTGTAGAATAGCCATATAGCCATATAAATGTGTCAGCCTGTCGCCATAATGCTCCTTTATATTCTTGAATATGGATGGAATTTTTTGATTTATCTGACTATGTCTTGATTACCATTTGATAAAGGCAAAGTTTCCACATATCTGTCTTTGTTCCTTTATAAGGATCCCCATTAGTATCAGCATACGCATTGGCTATGCTTTGTGTAAACTGATACTAAATGGCTTGTTAGGACCGAATTGCCAGATTAATCACGGCTTCTCCTACACAAGCTCTTAGAGGACAGAAATACTTCTACCTCAATGCTCCAATTAAGATTAAGCAACATTATAATCTTAATCTGATTAGGCGGTTGGATTATGTAGCCAAGTGTCCGTTGGTCAAATCTATCAGCTGCCTTTGTTCTGATAAAAAATGCTCATACTATCGTCTTCAAGCACAAAAAAGCACATGTTGTGGAAATGAACAGAACATTTCAAAAGAATTACTGGTATCTATCTTTGAATAGGAAAATATTTTCTCTCTCAAGAACAACCAAATGTATTGTGACTCTACAGTCTGTGCACAATAGAGAGCTGTTAGATACCTTTACAATCTTTTTCTTTAAATTAGATATTTACAAATATTTTTATATTTGACTTATTTCAATGAAATAATCACCATGCAACAGCTATATGTTGATTGCTGATCATCTGCAGTGTATGAACCTACTTCACACAGGACTCACACAACCACCTGACTGAGTCTCTCTGTTGCTCTGTGAGTTTTGTGACCAACAGCCAGCAAAGGCCTCGTGTCTGTGTACAAGACAACTAAGGCCATCTGTGTGTGTGTGTGTGTGTGTGTGTTTTTTTTTTTCTTTGGTGTCCTGCCACAAAACTCTGCTGCCAGAACACCAAAGGGTACCCATGTGCATCACACTGCACCTTGGGACAGGCTCACTGAAGCACCTTTATTTCCTGTGGCTCCGTCGGTAGACATCTGTATTCTGCCAAAGCACCGTCACAATAGCAGCAATGCTTGAAAAGAGCTTTGTTGTGGCAGGATTAATACACTAGCATGATGTTAAATTTAATTTAAGCAGCTTGGCAGGGAACAAAACATTTTTTTTTCTAAGTTTTACTTGCTATAAACACATTTATTATCGCTAAAAATGTGTGCATTGTGTGTGCAAAAGCTTTGGCTTTTGGAGTCGAGTGGACAATTGTTGTACCTTCGTTATTTGCAGTTCTGCTTTAGCAAAGGTAGCGGCTTGGGACAGACACACACATGCACTGATATTGTTCCATACAACACCCAAAGCTTGCACTTTGTGAGACTAAATGGATTCTGAAGGGATTTTCTTCCTCAGAGGGACACAAAGACAGGATGAGGTCAGCAGAGCCAGTGTGGGATGGTTTGTTCTGCAATATGGCGTACTGAACAGAAGATGAAAAGACCTTTATAGTTGGGGGTCAAAGTTCCAGTTTAATGCTGCATGTTGCAGACATCATACCACTATTAGTATCAATACAGTTTGTACATCTGAGGCAGTTATCCCAGCATGCACCGCCCGCTCAATGAAACCAGAAAGACTAAAAAAACACATAGCACACAAATAAAGCAGCTCAGTCTCCAGAAACAGTATATTTATTTGTTGGTTTAAAAAAAAAAAAGAATATACACTCAGAAAAGTAGCCACATTTATAATTGTCAGTTTTATACATTCTTAAAAATTAAGCAGCTTTCTCAAAAACATTAAGCAGCAACCTTTCGTGATTTAAATTGGTACCACTTTAAACTGTAACAACAGATTTAAATCATTACATATTCTCTAAGGCTGTGATAAATTCACCCTATACACAAAAATAGACCAAACAGAGCATCATAATCCTAGAGA